AGTACCCGTGAGTTCATGACCACTACCGAAACAACTGAGACATAAAAGCTCACATGTTTTATTATACAAATGGAAACAAGGTCTTTCTCCTCGTGAACAAGACTCAAATCAAGGCTTTGATAAGCTCTCAATATCGGAATCATTCAAACATGAAGGGGCAATCTTTACCGGCTCAAGTATAAATCCCGATTTCCGGCATTCTTCTTCCAATAGCTCCACCTGAGATGGACCGTCAGGGCAGAAAACCACCACTGCTCCTCCACTTCCAGTGAACTTTGAAGCTGCACCAACCCTCCTTGCAACTTCCACCATCTCTATGTTCATTGCTCCTAAGCATTCGTCCCCAAACATCCTCCTATTGAACAAAGGACATCACTAAATGTGAGCTTGGAATTTGATCTTGAGTTGTGTATAGATTGCAATTTTATCTCGAATTAGATTTTACCTTCGAAGGTCAAAGTTACGGTTCATGAGTTCCACGAGTTTGGAATGGTCCTTGTCGAGTAATGCAGCTCGGCCTTCTTCTGCTACCTGTCCAACTTCTTCCATTGATGAGATTATCAGCTCATCACCGTCTAACCATCTTTGCCGAACCCTACTATGTACCTGCATTAGAAATCCATGCTAACATCAACGAAAATTTCTTCTGAACTATGCCTGAAAGGCCTGAGTTTTAGTCATTAACTACTTGTTTGGAAACCAAATCATCAGCAGTAAAGAATGCTGCATCAACCAGAAGCATAAAAATGGTGCGTGTGTACCTTCCCTGAGTCGCTAGGATTCTCAGCATAGATGAGATGCAAAGGCGGAAGGAGACTGATATCCATAGGAGTGTAAATCCCATGTCCCAATTTATCCATATGTTCCTTACTAAAATCCTGCAAAATGATGATCATATAAGAAAGTCATTAACTGATGAAACTTTGTACCAAAAGCTGTATATATAAAAGATCACCACCACTCACCATGTGAACAAGACCACCATACACCTGAGCTACACGGTCTTGAAGACCTGCAACAATACCAAGTTCTTTTTCTGCATTGAGGACAATGTTAGGCCGAACTTCTACTTTGATCAAATGCCTGACATTGTAGAAGTCAAGAAGGCAGCTAAGAGCAGCGGATACGATGGCACTAGAACCCGAAAGCCCTGTCTGGAACATCAAAGCTAGATCATCAGCTATATACGTCAAAAGCAGCAATCGAAATTCACCTGGAGGAAAACAAAAACATTAAGAAATGGGTTTGTACCTGCCTAGGGATATTGGTATCGTAAGATAGAGCGAAGTTTCCTTCATGAAGTTGAATGCCATTATCTTTGCAATAGTTACAGAATACTTTACAAATCGCCATTAGCAACCTTACACCACCGTAGTAACCTTCATTTTGCAAGCGATTCAGCTGAGGAATAACAAAATCTTATGCTATCAGAAATTCAAAAGCTAAGCTTCAAATAATTACAGGTTGCAATTACCAGCTGAAATCAATTCCACTATCCAACTTAAACAAACTAACGATACAGGACCAAATCTGGAATCTAGTTAACAACATTTCAAACGAAATGCAGATGAAATTCATCCGAATTGGAAAGAAAACGTACGAGATGGTCGAGAGAGGTGAACTGGACGAGATCGTGGAATGGATGAGGCTTGATGAAGAGATGTTGGGATGGCTCGAGCTTGACGGAAGCCCAGAAGTTGCCGATAGTGAAGGAGATTGTACGGCCGAAGTAAACATCGCTAGGGTTTCCCAGAAATCCGATCCGACCAAACGACCGGTGCTCGATCGCCGCCTCCGTCGTCTCGCCGGAAACCGTGGATCTCGGATCCTGATCCTGATCCTGATCCATCTCCCTTGCGCGTTTTTTACTTTCTTTTTTTAACTTATCCATACTTCACTATTTATTGATCTTATTTTTTACAGTTCAACGATTCATGGGTCCCACACTGAATGTATCGATTTACGTTGATCGGGTGGGTGATAATGACACGTCAACAGTCACAAGGATAAATAGATTTTAGGGAAAATTTACCAAAAATACAACAAAAAAAATATAATTTGAAAACTAGCAAAAAAAAAATTCTAAATCCAATGGTCTAATTGCCATATACAATA